ACAAATTTTGATAATTGTAAACAAATTTGTTCTTGTGCCCTATAATAATTTGGTATTGAGGTATGACCCTGTACTGTGCGTGATAGTGAAAATGAAAGTGAATGTGAATCTATAATGCGAACGAAATGAGTTGTGGCCAGACGATTCTTCAATTTCAAAATAATAAAGTCAAAGGACTCTGTTTTAAAATACAAGCTCATTCTTATCAAAGTTTAATTCTGTCCATTCTAATTCTTCGTACCTTGACTGTATCTTGAGTAGCTCACTCTTCAGTGTTACTTTAACTAAGTTCGTTGACTTAGTAAAGCTTATCAAACTGTCAATTTTTCGACAGTCGTTCCACATTTTTGTTGATTGATAAATGAAAGAGGAGGATGGGTTTGGGGTGATGAACTGGTTTGAACGTCTTTGTGATGGTGATCTGTGGAGTAAAGATAGGAGTGAGATTGGAGATTCTAATCTGACAATTTTGAACAGTTCTAATAGACATGTGTATTTGTACAGGTTGTGGACGGTAAGAAGGCCGTTCTTGTTAAACAACGGCTTTGTATGCTCTTTTTCAAAGAATTCCCTTCCTAGGATTTTGTTCATCTATACAAGATTTGTTCATCTATACTAGACCATCAACTGGAAGAAAAACCGGCTCAGTCTGCACATCTTTGCATTTCACAGATCGGCGAGATGCACCACTGGGCCTCGCCGAGCTAGGAAGGATTGACATCGTGAATCAAAGCACCGCCCAGTAACGAGGTTTAAATTTCGAACACAAATAGTCGCGCGGCGTCGGTCAGGGTCACAAATATAGCGCTAGAGAACGGGTTAAAAAGTTACGTGACAGTCAAGTTCACATAGCCATGTGTCTACGCGGACTGCCGTCGCGCGCAACTGCAAGCGAAAGGGCTGATCCGGTTAGAGCAAACAGTCGAGTGTTGCTCTATCCAGAGCCCTTGCGCTTGCAGTAGCGCGCGCCCGCCTAACTTACAGGAAAAGTTACTGGCTGGTGGTGGTACTAGAGTTGGTTTAATTTAAACAAACGGCTCGACCTCGCGCGCGACATCAAGCATGATTTGCACGCGTGGCGCATTTCAATGTTCGAGCAGCTACCACGTGACACAATTCAGCCAATCAGAGTACAGGAATCTGCAGAGTTAACGTTGCAAACTTTTGATCGGCCCGAAATGGGACTTTTCTGGAGATTTTGAGATAACTCAACAACTACTTGTATCACGTGGTGACCCCCACTGTCGCTTCACTATAGTAGAGTTTCTACGACGCGATACAGGGGGAGCCGCGCACTCGTGCGCGGCGGGTTTCACATAGCTTTGTGTCTACGCGTACTGCAAGCGAAAGGGCTAGGGCTCTGGTTAGAGCAAGCGGCGGGTCATACAACGTATGAATGACAAACAACTACGTTGCCTTGAATTTTCTTCCTGGGGAGGTAACGTTACTTTTAAAAGAGGAACACGTTACAAAAAACCAAAAGTCTCCAACTCTTTTACTTTCAAAGTTAAGCCCCATCCAGTAAAGGTTTCTGGGCAGTGGGCGCGTGAGACAAGCGCGCCCGCAGCGGCGCGAAAGCACATGGTTAGGTGAAGTCGAGTGTAGAGTCAAAAGTGATTAGTAATATAAATCATCCGTGCTAGAAACGAAACGCTATTGTCAATTTTTACTTTTTTGGGCAGGTCGGTACTATTTCCAAATTTAAAAAGTTAATAATTGTTGAAGTTTAGAATAAATTTCCTTCCGCGCCGCGCAGCGCACATTCGTGTATATAATTATATGTTTATCTGTACGAATTGAGCGTTGTTGAAAAAGTAATTTCAAATATTCTTTAATCGGGTGTCTTTTTAAAATTTTCTATTGTTTAGAACAGTCAATGAATCATTCAAGTTTAGTATGTTACTTGATAGCGTCTAATATGTGATACTGGCACCTCGATTTTAGTCTATTTGAAAGCTGAACTACACTAAGTTGACTGACTCATTGTCATTAATCATCAATAATCATCAATAATCATAGAGTTTGAAAGTTTCTATTATGGAAAACAGGTTTTCTCGTTATGATCGAAAATGCGTCTACATATGCGTATATATATAGTAGGAACAACTTACTTTTATTTACTGGAGTCGTACAGTGTACAGGCGAACAAAATTATGTAATCAGTGTTCAAAAAGGTTGCAAGTTTTACGGCTGACTTTAAAAGCATGCTAGTTGAAATGGGACTGTCGACATGCATTAGCTGAAAAGTGATCACGAAAAGTGATTACGAAACATGCGAATAATTGATTTCTCTTGGAGAATTTCTCTTTATATTACACTCTTAACTTGCGAACAATTTCCGTTTATAACATTTATAATATTTTTCTAAAGGATTGCTAGTATTTTATGTATTTGTTTTCACTTCTGCACGTTTAGGCAGTTGCTCTTGTGACCAGAGTTTTAGAGTTATATATATATATATATTATAACATTTTAAAAATTTAGTTTGATTTTAATTTGCACCAGGTAGTGCACATTCAAATTATGAAACTTGGTGACTTTATTTGGTTTTACACAGTGGCTTAACATTGCCTATTGACACCCCCCCCCGCTGAAAAAGCGTGCCCCCTCCCCTTTTGGCACCCCTCCCTAAAATTGAACAAATAAGATGATTTTAGAGGATATGCCTGTAAAAAAAATTTGTTTCTAGAGCCAAATGCGCAGTTTTGCTAGTACCTTGGTTAAGTTTTTCGAAATTGTCCCACATTCAAACGACGATTTTGCGCCTCCCTAAGATTGCTCCCCCGCACAGCAGGGTCGGTGGGGCCCTTCGTTACGCCACTGGTTTTACACCCTCAGTGTATTTTCAAACTCATGTTTTTAAGGTCAATTAAGACATTAGGGTAGACAACTTCAATCAGATGTTAACCTATATACACTTTGAACTTATCTGCTTTCAGATTTAGAAGTATAATATACAATAGAAATACACCACATGTAATCAAGCAATTGGCTTTATGTGGAAAGATGTCCTGTGATCACTGATCAGGAGAGATAGAGTTGTCAAATTTGTTAAGTCTAAGGTTATCATTTCATTGTGGACTCATTAATAAAAAGCTCGGATGAAAACAAGAAACAATGGGAAGAAGAAAAAGATGAAGAGATTTTAACTAGAGCACACAACATCTTTTTCTCATCACCTGAAGAGTCTGATGGTGAAAGCAATTCCCAAAGACAACAGCAAATTTCAGAAGAAAGTGGCTCCAAAGAAATAAAGTTGCCAAGCAACTCTACTCCACTAAGTTTACCATTGCACAATGAGCAAAGTGAGATACGTTTTGATCTGAGTCCCATTGAACCTGACATAAATTCAACCTACCATAGGAAATCTAAAAGGTTAAGATTTACTCCAGAAGCAAACTTGCATTTTCAAAACTCCTTCTTAACTCCAATTCGTCACCAGAACAAGAAAGAGATTAATAAAATGCAAGATTCCGAACAAGTCAGTGATTGTGAAGCTCAAAAGGTTGGGAGTAGAAAACGGAGAAGATGCAAAGTTCAGTGTGTTGTTGTTTCACCAGCAACTCAAAATTGTACTCCTTCTGCATCTGGTATTAATATCAATAAAATCAGATCCTTAAAAACTGATGGTGAGTGTAATATCGACACAGTTGATGCTACTTCTGGCAGAAATGATCAGTTCAGATGTTCTACCGCAAATACAATGTTGTCAGGCAGACCTCTTCTCTCTTCAACACCGAATTCAAAAGGAAACGTCTGCAAAAAGAAAACTGTCAATAAACTTAACCATGATATAACTCTAGTTAAGGAACTAGAAAACGAAATTGAAGATGTTCACTCATTGAGGCAAAGTCATGACCATGAGACAATTGGAAGTTTTGAAACTGAAGCACCCATTTGGATTGAACCTGAAGTTATTGCTGACCTCTTGAGAGAGGATGATAGTATTTATGACCAGCTATCTGATACTGAAGATAAAATTATTGATGAACAGATGAATATGAAAAATGTTCCAAATTTTCAGGGGGAGGGAGAGCACTAAAGAGAGAAGCATCGATGAACTGTTAAATGTAGCAAATCTTACAAGTAGTCAAGAAAATATTGTAGATGAATCTTTAAATGTTACAAGAGGTCAAGAAGAAACAGAGCCAGTTGAATCAGACACGATCCGTTCTGTTGAGGATAGCTTACCTTTAGAGCACTCTACAGATTCTGCAAGTAATGTAAACTCAGCAGATTCTTCCAATGATTTGTTTGTTCCAGAAACAAATGAAGATGTACAAACTAATGTGGTTGAGTCAAATGATTTGCCCAAGTTAAGTGATCTTTCATCTCAAGAAACATCCGAGCATTATGAATTTAGGCTTTCAGAATCAGATGAATCCGACAAATCATGGGGTTCTGATGAACTTTTTCTGTAATTATGAATATGAACATGTGAACAGGCAGACCGTAAAATCGAAAAGATATGGTTAAACACAGCAAAGCATCAACATAAATTCGGGCTTAGTTTTGGTCCTGATAAACGTCAGCCTATCTTTGGAATCACAGTACTTGCTGTTGTAGTCATTTTGGGACAGATACTAAGCTGCTTATTGGATTATTCCACTAGAAAAGAAACATTTTAAATAGTTTCTTGGTTTTTATGTTTTGTAATTGTATCATTATAATTTCAATTTTTTGCTACAGTGCAAGTGGTCAATCATTATTTTAGTTTCAATTGAAATGTGTTGTATTGTTTCAATTGTGTTCTATGATTATTATTTTTCATACATTATGTTTCACTACCAATAGTTTTACTATTATATACTATGTAGCCTTCTACAATAATAATTTGATTATTGTTATGCCTATTTCTATCCTCCACTTATCTAATTCATGTTTGATCTTTATAGTTTCTATTGAGTTGATCTACTAATTTCTTGTATTTTTCAGTATTTCACTATAACAATAGTGAAACAAATACCAACCTCATGCTAATATATGTAATATCGTTTAGCAATGCAGAAATGGGTGCTACAAACTCTAAAGCCCCAGCTGTCACAGTACTAGAAAGAGTCGTCCCACAATCAGACACATTCCCTTGGTCCATTAACCACGGTAAACTAGCTAACGGTGGTAAATGTAGTATCTTTGTTCACAAGAAAGGTGGACTAGGTTCTCAAAAGAGATGTCAGCAATTTGTGAAGAATCTCAAGCTGTGCAGGCACCCTTACCTGCTCCACTACATTGAGAGCCAGGTATGTTTTCATTAGTTAGATTCTGGTGGGGGGGGGGGGGGGGGGGGGGGGGAGGTGAAGCATATTCGAGGCAACATGTGACGTTATCAAAATGTGCATCAAAATGTGCATCAAAATGTGCAATTACCCTATATATGGTATAATTACATGGATTGATCACGTGTCAACTTTCAGGTAAACAAATATTGCCCACCTCCCCACCAGAATCAACATCTATTATAACGTTGAAATTATGATACCTTTTGTTTAACACAGGTGTTCAATTTCAAACACTTGTTTTTGAGAACTCTGCTCAGCAAATTCTCTTATAAAATATAGCCTTTGAAAGCATGATTGAAAGAAAAAGTGCTGATCAACAGCTGTTGTTGGGATCACACATTACAAGTTTTGAGCGATTTTAAATCAGTGATTTATCATGAGCCAAGACCAATGCCAGGATCAGCCTTTTGATTTTCCAGGTATTGAAAATTAAATTAGCAAAAGCAATCAACTCTGATGATTTAGCTGAGCAGTCTAGACTACTAATTATCATTCAATAAACTAAATTGCAGTCCTGGCCACAAGTTGACCTATCAGTAGTCAATCCCTGCTGATCCCAGTCCTGGTCTATATCTCTCTTAGAATATCATCTTTTAGCAGACCGTCTGTCTAACCAACCTCAGACTGATCTAATCCTAATAGGATCGATCCGGACCTCAGAGCTCGAGCTTTATGGGTTGGCCTAATTTTTTTCAAAGTATAGGGTGGTCAGAATTAACTTAATTTTGATTTCACAAAATAATACGAAGGGGTCGTTCACATATAACGTAATCAGCCGGGGGGGGGGGGGGTGGGGTTCCGAATGCTTACGGTTGATTACGGGGGGGGGGGGGGGGGTTTTGGTCGTTGATTTTGGTCGTTGATTACGTTATCAACATTTTCTTTTTTACTCTCTAAAATAATAACAACTTGACAATATTTTAATAAGAATTCCACTCAATTTCACTCTGACAGTGATAAAATTTACGAATGGATTGGGTATCCGGCTGCTAAAGTAAGTAGGTGCTTGGCCGGATATCATAGCAATGATTTCGGCTCATAATAATCAGGGTAGCATGAAATGTAGAGAAAAGTGTTTTCTGAGGGAAAAAAAAGGGGGGGGGGTAAAAATTGCTAAAATATTAATTACGTAATATGTGAACGACCGCTAAGATCCAAAACATGTCTGCATGATGTTAAATCTAGGTCACTGTGTTTTAAACAATAAAATCAATAATTTACAATCAAAGTTAATTCAATACACTTTATCTCACGACCTTATCTTTTCCAGGAGGATAACGACGCCATATATCTGGTAACAGAACCAGTGGTCCCTCTAGGATCACTTCTTAAAGAAATGACTGAGCTGGATGTAGCCCTGGGCTGCTACATTATTGCCAGCTCTCTTAACTTCCTTCACAAGAACGCCCAGATGTCCCACAATAACATGAGAGTTTCATCTGTGTTTGTAAGTCAGACAGACAACTTGTGGCGGCTGGGAGGGTTAGAGAACGTTTGTAAAGAAGGTGGTGTTGATGAGAGGACGGTTGGGGATATAGTCCGCTGCTCGTCTCCGCAGTGTCCAGCTGCTCCGGAGGATACAGATGGCACCTTCAGTTCTAATCTTATTCACTGTCGTGACTCTTGGATGCTGGGACATATGATTATTATGCTCATGGAAAGATTCAATGGTAAGCCTGATGGTGGACTTATGAAATTTAAACAGACCGTGAAAAAGTCATACTGTAACGCTGACCCACGAAAAAGGCCCACAGTTGAGTCGTTTCTGGGCTGCCAATACTTTAAATCATACCCTCAACATGCTCTCATTTACTCCGTCGAATTCTTGGAATCTATAACCATAAAGTCGGACGAAGAGAAAAGGAACTTTTTCAGGAAAGCATCCACAGATTTGATTCAAGTGTCAAGTGACTTATTTCAAAAGTATCTCATGCGGTTGATGTTCAGTGATTTGATATTTGCTGATGAAAATGCTCGCGAATACCTTTTACCTCGACTGCTTTCGGTTAAAACTAAAAGAGAGAGCAGAGGATTTTATAAAGCAGAATCATACGCCAAGATAATGGCACCTTTATTGACAGAGCTGCTCAAACGACGAGCAAAACATACTAGACTTGTTCTTCTTCGGCTGACTCGCTGGTATGTCCCTTTCCTTCCATCTCACTTTGTAAAAGACAGCCTTCTTCCCGAAATTTTATTGGGACTCAATGACACTGATGATGCGATTGTAATGGCCACTTTCAACTCGCTCGCCGTTCTCACCTCATTTCTTGGTGCAACTACTGTTGTCGGGAGCTCCCTGCAAAAATCACACTTCCACGATGCCTTCCCCCGGGGAGTAGAGGCGAGACCTTTAGTGAAAACTGAAACACAATCAGATGGTATCGGGGAACAGTCTTTTACACAGACGATGAATGGTGAAATAATGAACGAGTCTGATCTTGATTCTGGAAAAGAGTACCCAATGTTGCATGTTTCCAGACAGGACATGCTGAAAGATGAACGAGAGAAGCGAGCACAGGAGTCTAAAAGGAAGAGAGAAGCAAGAAAGATTAAGGAACAGGAACAACAAAAGCAAGTGAAGCTGATTGAGGTTGCAGCTCGACCGGAATGCAAAAAAGCGACACCGGACGGAGTTACAGATATTGCTCGTCACAGTATTCTAAAAAAACAGCGTTTCACTCACGGACCTCCTCTTCTCGTCCACGAGCAACAGGGTGTCTCCATGGAATACAAACCAGAGTCTCTCTCCGACACTGGCATGTGGGACAGTGATAACAATCTGGATCTGCCAGTTTCAGACGAAGAGAAGGAACAGAAGTCTCTCCTGGAGATCGCCAAACAAACTTCAGAGAGTGAGGAGAAGTTAGAGGAGGAGGAGGGGGTGGTGTTCTCCGATCAGGAGGTTGAGACTCCAGTTAATATGGGCAGTAAAGTGAGCTCAGCTAACGAAGAAGAAGAAGTTTCAACTGCTGCAATAATAGATACATCAGGGAACCAGGAGGATGGTTTCTCAAACTGGGAGAATGGAGGGTGGAGTGACTTTGAGACACAGTACGAATCAGATGAAGGTATTGAGATGAAGAACCTGAAACTCTCAGAAGTTCAGCCACTGGAAACTGTAACAGAGGATATCCGCCCGGCCGTGGAGCCAGCGGTGATAGTTCCCGCTACAGTGTCTGATATCATGAACTTAGAGCGGGCGGTCCAGCCTGAAGAAGACTTCTTTGCTGATATGCAGCCCAAATATACTGCTCCAAAGCTTCTTTGATATCTGTTTGTTGGTTTTGGTTTGGAATTCGCTTTAAATTATCCATGATTATATCAGCTGAGCTCAATTTCGGTATTTACAATATTAATTATTAAACATGTGTTCTGACTGAGTCCTAACTCTTAAATTAATTGAATTAAGCATTAGTTGTACGAATCTAGTGAACTTTATTTTACTGCTCCTTATTAAATATTTTACTAACTGTTTTAACTGTAGCGGGCTAGGTTTACTGAAGCATTGCATAATTATCGTGTATTTAAACATGTCACAACCTGCAAGCGGTTTTTTAAGGAAGTAAAGTCAAGATGCTAATTGATTATCTGTAGTTATCATAAAAACGCATTGGACCTTTTCATCACATTAACAGAATTTATAGAAGATAATCTTTGAAGTGGATTAAATGATCATGTATTAAATTTGTATATGGATTATATTAGTAAGATGATAAACTACGTTGTAGAGTCTAGACATCGCAATATCAATATAGGGAGTTTTAAGGAATGCTGGAAATTTCTGAAGATAATATGAATGATAATATGAAATTATCGATTTAATTTCAAACACTAATCTGCATGCCATAGTCATTAAACTTATTAATATTATGTGGACTATTTACAATTTAACGATGAAGATAGCATGTTAAAAAGTAACGAGAATTATATGTTTGAAGAATTTGTTTATTTGAGTACTGATAGTAAATGTGTAAGTTTTTTAATAACATGGCTGTTTGTTTGATTGGTTTTCTCTGTCTGTTCTTACCCTGGTACCCTTGTTTTGCCAAGTTATAACTAAAACTACTGCCACATTTAGAAACCAAATATGTCTAAATTTTCCCGATGGCTACAAAACATTTGCATCAATGTTACAACACTTCCTCTGTGTAGTGTACAACATTAAACAAGCCTATGTGGTAACAATGAAAACTTGGGTACCCTATTGATGGTGCATAGCTATTCGATTGAATGGTATGGATAACCCTTACTGTCACATAATGCTGCGTGTTGTAGCAATATTGCGGGTGTAACAACTCTCACACTCTATTTTAGCTTGAAGCTCTGCAGACATGCTCGGTTTCACTGTCAGGCGCTGTTGCGGTGAGTTTGTAATTAAATTAATTATCTAATTATAGTTTTGTAAAAATCAAATTAAATGATCACTTTATTTATTACTTTCAACTTTCATCGTTACAAAATAGCTCTTTTATTTTGATTTCTTGATGGAAAAAGCTGATAAGAATTTTAATGTTCAGGTGGACTAAACGCCTCAGCATCGTTACTCAACAAGGTAACAACTAATTTTCATACAACTCATGAGCACTGTGCAAGATATTTTCAAAATATATACTGCACAAATAATCATGCAGTATATACTTAATTTAGACGTAACCATGATATAATGATATAATGTGATCTACAAGCTGACAAACCCAACACTAACTGCTCCATTATCTGTTTTGTATTTTCAGAGTGCTGCAGCAGCAACACCGATGATTTGTAAGTAACTAAAATGCCATTTGCTGATTACACTGTAAGTCTGATTAGTGTAGGTACTTCGTTAAGAAAGTTGTGCTCGATCAGCAACAATCTGCTAGTACGGGGTTGAGACTTGTTAAGGAAATTTGATGTAGTGTATGTAACGCGCGCACGCCGAACTATATTTTTGCTTATAAGCCAAAATTGTGAGCAATAAAAGCACGTGACTTCTTTAATTGTAGTGTTTGGAAATATCGAGAATGACGGGGATAGGGTGTGGTATAGCTTATCACTAACAATATTGGGCGGTATACTAGCTGATGGCAATTCGGCATTATGCTCATGCAGGAGTATTTAATACTGATATCAACTCATTTAAAATCTCCAAAAGCATCATGCGAGTTAAAACGGGGCCATCAATGACTGGGCAGACTATAATATGGCTCATTAGTCGTTACAAAGAGGCTGTGAACCGTACATTCTTTAAGATCTATTCTTAAATGCGTATCGCCATCAGGGTCGAGGTTGATGGCAACGTATGAAAGGACAAAACCACACATAAACATTGGAACTATCGGTCACATTGATCATGGTAAAACTACTCTCACAGCAGCTATCACTAAAGGTTAGTTCCCTAGTATTGTCCTCTCTTTATTTCCTATATTTGAGGTGACATTTTTCATTTGATTTTTCAAGTTCAGAGATCCGAGACATTGTATTTCATTTAATTTCGTCAAGCTTTGAATAAATCAACTTTCTTTAGCAACTAAAGTCTAAAGATTTAATCGAAATTAACAATACAATTATACAAATATTCCGTGTCATCATGTTTCACCAACTTATAATGTCCTTATTGTCTCCCAACAAGAACAAATCACTATAAAACACAACTTTAAAGCTGACTTTAACATATTCACATATATATACATATACTTTAACATATTCTCTCCGATCTAACCAGCGTTTGATAATATTTGCCCGATTAACTCAATAAAACATTTCAGTTCTGTCTGAGAAAGGTTTTGCCAAGTTTCAAGATTATGATCAGATCGACAATGCGCCCGAAGAGAGAATACGTGGCATCACTATAAATAGTCAGCACGTGGAATACGAAACTGATAACAGGTTGAGTTTCATTTCATATTTAGTCAATTGTCTATTCGCAAACTACGGATGTATATAGCCTCTTTTCTTTGTTAAATATATTTATATACACAGTGCACACCTTTCATATTGTTGCTTTAACAATACAATGTTATTGATAATCATGGAATAAGTAAAATGACTGCCACGTTGATAGTAGTATAATGGTTTTAGATGGATGCAGCAGATAAAATAATTGAGCCCCCAATTTGTCAGGCACTACTCCCATGTAGACTGTCCCGGCCACGCTGACTACGTTAAGAACATGATAATGGGGGCCAGTAAGATGGACGGCTGTATCCTGGTGGTGGCAGCTACAGATGGCCAGATGCCCCAAACCCGAGAACATCTCCTCCTCGCTCAACAGATCGGTAAGTTGTTAGTTGCACAAGTTTTGAGAAATTTAATTCCCGTACAGATTTAAAGTGATTTTATCTTTTTATGTTCAATAATTATGTGAGAATTAGCTTGTTAGACATTGATCCTATCGTTCCATCAAGTGAATATGAGACTTTATATTTCCTCTTTGACCAGGAATAAAAAAGCTAGTAGTTTTCGTGAACAAGGTGGATATCATGGACGATGAGGAAATGTTAGAGCTTGTAGAAATGGAAATACAGGAGCTGCTAGAGAAGTACGGGTTCGATCCTGATGAGACCCCTGTCGTGTTCGGCTCGGCGAGGTTTGTCTTAGCTGCTACATTTTGCTTTTCGAAAAACAACGCTCGTTGAATATATGTATGATACAATTTATCGGCCAAAATATTCCAAAAAAATTCTATAGGTGTGCACTGGACGACGAAAAACCCGAAATTGGAACGGAATCCATCAAAAAGCTGATGGATATTGTGGACGAGTACATCCCGGCACCTCAACGAGATTTGACCGGCCCTTTTCTTATGGCAGCTGAGGGATCGTTCCAGTTAGCTCGAGGAGTTGTTTGCTCAGGTCGTATAGAGAGGGGAGTGATCAAGAAGGGCGATTTGTGCGAGGTCATCGGAAAAGGGAAAAGGATCAAAAGTTCAATCGTCGGTTTGTACACCACTCCTCACGAATCCCTTTTCAATTACACTTGAAGCCGCCAATAGGAATATATAATCATACCTAATCGACTCAATTACAGTGGTGTAACGTTACGCCACTGCTCCGTTATATCCACATTTGTTGTAGGGATAGAAACGTTCAACAACACACTAATTGACTCCGTTATATCCACATTTGTTGTAGGGATAGAGACGTTCAACAAGACACTAATTGACTCCGTTATATCCACATTTGTTGTAGGGATAGAAACGTTCAACAAGACACTAATTGACTCCGTTACATTTGTTGTAGGGATAGAAACGTTCAACAAGACACTAATTGCCTCCGTTATATCCACATTTGTTGTAGGGATAGAAACGTTCAACAAGACACTAGAAGAGGGGCAGGCTGGAGACGATGTTGGAGTATTGTTGAGGGGTGTAGTTAGGGGCGATATCAAAGGAGGCACTATTATCTGCGCTCCTAACAGTATTAGCTCTGTCAAACAATTCCAGGTTTGGGCAAATTACTCATGAAATTAAAATTCACGGTATTTGTTACACCTTTTTGTTTTTTTAGCGTGTCCTCAACCCTATGGACTTGCCTTATGCTTTGAATCAGTGATGACTCCAGATTTATTCCCTCTCGTTTCAGGCGACGTGCTATTTCTTGTCGAAAGACGAGGGAGGAAGACACAAGCCTTTCTTCACCAACTTCCAACCCCTCATCTACACCAAAGGATTCGCTGCCAGCTTCTCGGTATTATAATACACCTTATGATTTGTTATATGTAATGACTAATTATATAGGTAATATACGGTATACCTCTCCAAGTTTGGTTGTTTTTATGTAGTACAAGTGATACTAATAATATATAGTGTTCACTTCTATAGTAATGTCCAAGCAGTTTCTTCTAGGGACTACCGGTGGGAGATGAATAATTGAGAATCCAACAGGATCTTGTTCTCTTCATTGTGCTGATTCCGGGAAGCATTCGTTTTACGCTCTAATCCTATTAAAAATCGAGATATCGGTCATTGAAAAATGAGTAATTATAGGCCTGTCAATGATTGCAGCCCAATTAAGAGCTGATCAGTTGCAGCTACTTGTGCCATATAAGGGATAACTGAAGTCACGTGACCGCCAATCCTATCACGTGACCTTGATTCGTAAATCCTTGGTCACGTGATCACATTCGTAACGTGTCGAATGCTGACTAGGATATCTCGTGACGTCACCAGAGCTCAAGCTTCCTGACCAGGCCTTATATGGAATAATATAGTGTATCACGTGTAATTGGATCCAATTAAGATGAGCTGCGCAATTATCGCAGCATCTCGATCTGGTATCACCTTCTGAAACCCAGCAGGCAGCTGGGCCAGAGATTTTAAAATAGAAGGATTTTTTGTTAATGAAAATCGAAGCGAAAATCACGTAACCCTATGTTTCCGAGGACGGATAGGTTGACGCTCCTGTTATGAGAATGGTCCCCTTCCTATCCGTTGTACACTATACTCATTACCTTCTGGCTCAAATTTAAAGTTAACCTTACCTTTTACCTATCATATGTAGTTAATATTACCTTGTATCTTACAATTAGAGTTAACCTTACCTTTTACTTAGCATATGTAGTTAATATTACCTTGTATCTTACAATTTGAGTTACCATTTACTTGTGCCTTACAATTAGAGTTAATGTTACATTATACCTTATATATGGAGTTAACGTTACATTATACATTACATCTAGAGTTAACATTACATTATACCGTACATCTAGAGTTAACGTTACATTATACCGTTAACGTTACATTATACCTCACATCGTGATTCGTGAGTTAACATTACCTTCCACCCCACATGTAAAGTTAAGATTATCGTATACATTACTTCAGAGTTAACTGTAACATTACATTATACCTTATATTGTATCCAGAGTTCTTCTTCTTTTTATTGGTTGGTGTCCCTAAGTTTCTTCTGATTCCGTGTCATTTCATACCGGGAAGCTTTCTTGTAATTCATTATAATAAGATGGTCTACATAGTGGATTGTTGAATACTGAATACACATTACACATGTTCACACACTAGAATCGTGCCGATCTGAAACCGATCTCTCCACAGGTGCTATTACCCACAGACACGGAGATGGTGATGCCGGGTGATAATATTACGTGTGACATGAGATCTATGTCAGATACTGGAATACCACTTGAACCAGGACAAAGATTTACGATAAGAGAGTCCGGAAAAACGATAGGAACTGGAATTGTGACAACCATCCAAGAGGAAGTTAAATTAGTGTCCAGCGGATAAAACAAATATTTATTGACTGAATAAGGGACAGTGGTAGTGATACACTTCACTAGTAGACAGTGGCCCTCATTTATTTTCTCAGCTTTTCATGATTCTTATATTTATTGTGCGTTCTTTTTTAACGAACATCATCGAGTTTCATTTATTTGATAACAACTGTTGAGCAATGCTAATGTATGGGTGTACAAAGAAATCAGCCAAATAACTTGAAAAAAAAACGAATGAGAAATTCAATATCATTGTGTACAAACAAAATACAATTCAAAAATCTTCCAAAATAGATATTATAACTCATCAAGCATGTTTAAAATGTCGAAATAAAATCCTCTCTTATCATCAGCCTAGCCATGAAACACCCTTCCAGACAGAGCATTCATTCCATATATCATTAATCAAAGATAACCATCCTATACCAATATTATAATCTCATCCTTTACACTAATTCCATCTCTACACCATAAAGATTGCATGCCAGCTGTACCCTACGTATAATTCAGTCAAAATTTATCAAAATTATTGTGCTGATAATACTAACGGAGCAGTCTGCAGTGGGCCAGGATAATCTTGAAATACTTCGGAATACCACCCCTATCAATTCACTGCACGTTTGAAACCACCCAATCACGCGTTAGGAGGTATGTGAGACTCCTCCGCAGTAATTCCTACCTGAACTCAAATACCGGGTAATTGTTCTGGGCTACATGGTGCAGAGTCAACGACTGAAACATTTCCGACTGTTTGTGGTAATAGTAACCGTCTATCCTTGCAGTTGACTTCTGGAAACAAATGTAGTAAAATCCCTCAAAGCTAGCACCGTGGATGTAGGTAATCTTGTGGTCGGGCACTAGGAAATGCTCCTGAAAATTATAGATTTAGGTCATTGTAACAGTGAATGTCGTCATTAGCAATCTGATGTGTATCTAGAGGAAATGAATTAACTAAGATGCTTCAATGACGTTAGACAGATTGTCTTATTTGTAATTTAATTGTGCAAGTAAAGCACGTAAACGAGTATTCGCATTAACATACTATACGGGCACGTCGTATTCTTGTACACAATTACAAATAGCCAATAAAGTGTACGAATTGATGAAGTGCCCGGTGCGATGAAGTATCATTGAGAAAAAGAGACAAGGTTTACCTTCCAGCGCATGTAAACGAAGTCTGAGTCAGTGACACGGTCATACTCGAACTCGTCACTGTTGAAGGAGTCCGCAAACTGAGTAAACGATGGGAACTTCGACTGAAATAAGAATAGATAATCCAGATTGAAATATGTCTATCAACACGACGAATGGTACATCACTTCTATAAACGGTAGCTGTTTTAAATGATGGGTTTTTTTCGAAGCCTCTTGGCCCTTGGGTAATTAATTAATAAAAAGTTTGCCATAGCGCGCAATCACGCGCGCAAAATTTGCGCCATCCTCATCACTTTTTTCGTTATCGCGTTTGCGCTTCAGTAGCTCAGAAGACGTTTCCCTGAAATGTGTATGCGATTTTGTATGCGATTTGCGCGCCGCACGTACGTTAAAATAATTATATTTGTAGAATTTATGACGGTAACCCTTCAAAAGTCAAAATAAACTGCTCGTATATTTATAGACACTATGATATGAATAACTAAATAACACCTTGAACCCAACTTGGAACCACATCCAAGGGCCGCACCGACCCCAGAAAAGCTATAATTCAAGTCAAAAATCTTTACTCGGCCCTGTATGCGATTTATGTTCCGGGGTAGGTGGCCCATATTTTGGTATAAAAATGGGTACTGCCTATCCCAAACCATCATAAAAACCAAGTTTCGACCTCTCAACCCACTCAGGCCACTCCCAGGGGCCACGCCCATCCCAAAATTACTGAAATCCAGCTAAAATCCAGACTTTAAAATCTTTACCCCGTATGCGATTTATGTTCCGGGGTAGGTGGCCCATGTTCTAGTATAAAAATGGGTACTGCCTATCCCAAACCATCATAAAAACCAAGTTTTGACCTCTCAACCCACTCAGGCCACTCCCAGGGGCCACGCCCATCCCAAAATTACTGAAATCCAGCTAAAATCCAGACTTTAAAATCTTTACCCCCGTATGCGATTTATGTTCCGGGGTAAGTGGCCCATATTTTGGTATAAAAATGGGTACTGCCTATCCCAAACCATCATAAAAACCAAGTTTCGACCTCTCAATCCACTCAGGCCACTCCCAGGGGCCACGCCCATCCCAAAATTACTGAAATCCAGCTAAAATCCAGACTTTAAAATCTTTACCCCCGTATGCGATTTATGTTCCGGGGTAAGTGGCCCATGTTCTAGTATAAAAATGGGTACTGCCTATCCCAAACCATCATAAAAACCAAGTTTCGACCTCTCAACCCACTCAGGCCACTCCCAGGGGCCACGCCCATCCCAAAATTACTGAAATCCAGCTAAAATCCAGACTTTAAAATCTTTACCCCCGTATGCGATTTAAGTTCCGGGGTAGGTGGCCCATGTTTTAGTATAAAAATGGGTACTACCTATCCCAAACCATCAAAAAAACCAAGTTTCGACCTCTCAAACCACTCAGGCCACTCCCAGGAGCCACGCCCATCCCAAAATAGCTCAAATCCAGCTCAAATCCCATACAAATTCAGACTGAGAATCTTTACCCCCGTATGCGATTTATGTTCCGGGGTAGGTGGCCCATGTTTTAGTATAAAAATGGGTACTACCTATCCCAAACCATCATAAAAACAAAGTTTCGACCTCTCAAGCTCTCAAGAGAGAGCTTGAGAGGTGGAAACTTGGTTTTTATGATGGTTTGGGATAGGCAGTACCCATTTTTATACTAAAACATGGGCCACCTACCCCGGAACATAAATCGCATACGGGGGTAAAGATTTTTAATCTTGATTTGACCTGGATTTCAGCTATTTTGGGATGGGCGTGGCCCCTGGGAGTGGCCTGAGTGGTTTGAGAGGTGGAAACTTGGTTTTTATGATGGTTTGGGATAGGCAGTACCCATTTTTATACTAAAACATGGGCCACCTACCCCGGAACATAAATCGCATACGGGGGTAAAGATTTTCAATCTTGATTTTACCAGGATTTCAGCTATTTTGGGATGGGCGTGGCCCCTGGGAGTGGCCTGAGTGGGTTGGGAGGTCGAAACTTGATTTTTATGATGGTTTGGGACAGGTACTAACTATTTAAAACCATAAACCTGTTCCAAATACCCCGGAACACAAATTGCATACAGGGGTGAAATCGCATACAAATCGCATACACAAATCAAGGAAACGTGCTCTCCAGTAGCTGTAGTAAAAAACGCTAGTTTAATAGTTCTATTTTGGTGAGCTAGTATTGAAGTCATCCGTGACAGCTTAATTGAAGCAGAGGTGATTATTTATTGTAATTGAGTGTTATAAAGCGGGATTGACTTACCCAATGTTCTTGATCCACATCTAACTTAGCCTCCTGAAAAGTTTTAGTTGTTGAGTATACAACGATTTTTGTTTCACATTATCATACTTTATTGGCTACGTCCGTTTTTATTGTATAATTAACGAACTGGGCCCTTAATAAATATGGATAGTTCATATTTCAATTAATTCTAATAAATAGAACAATTTTACGGAATGGTACAGTAATACTGCATAATGTAATGCTTCAATAAAATGGTTAAGTTCCGCATACCTTTTAGACCGTTTAAAAAATATCAAACCTCACTGACGAGAATATTTGATACTTGACCAGAAATATGAACATATTTCACATATTTATGTCACCACGAAAGTTATAAAGTTTTAATTACTTGGCCTGTAAACGTGAAGCCTCTTAAATTTATTTATTTATCCGTCAAATTGACTCAATCTTCAGATTTGGCAGCTTGTCAAAATGAGTTAACTGTAGCACTATCATGATATTTGGCGCTAAACAAACAATACTTGATAACGACATAGCTTAGTTAGTATGTTCGCACAGCCGGTCTCTAATAACTCAAGTCAGCTACTCAATTTACTTACACTTATTTATTTATATTTTAGCTGTAGCCAATGCAATGCTTGATAACAAATATGCATTAAAAGCTTATATAATATATATTCGATTATTGTGTACTTAAAAACTACTCACAAACTCACGATTGATTTTTTTAATTTTTGAAAAATGATTTAACTAAATTAGTCTAGTAATTTCTATATATATATGATCACTAACCCATTTACGAGTAAGAAATGGGTGCTTCTTGCCGATAATTTCACCCTCGAAGTAAGTCGTCAGAGTGGGATATTCCTGGAATTTGTTCTATGTCAAAATACTTGAAAATGTTTACACGTTTTAGCAAAAGAGTTAAAAAGTAATAATATTTTAAAAGTTGATTCTTGAAAACTTGAACACATAATAAAATCACCTTTGTCAAATTGTATATTTTCAGATATCCACACAGAAAATCGTTCTCTTCATCGACGTGCTGAAATAACGAAAGATTAACATACTTATCCAGTAAAGATTAACATACTTATCCAGTAAAGATTAACATACTTAATACTTATGTAGTAAAGATTAACATACTTATCCAGTAAAGATTAACATACTTAAGTAGTAAAGATTAACAATTAACATACTTATGTAGTAATAATTTTTATCACTGATAAAAATACCCGGATGCCAGCAACCTTACGGAAGCTGTAAATATAGAGCTGGTATTACTCTACTCATGTACATGTGTATAAATTATATAGTCTACAAATATATTTATTTCCCGTCTGACTTGCGATCATCAGCACTGTATGAATGTGGGGAATGTACATAACACATTACACTAGTCTAATATTTTATACGCTGAGCGGAATTAGCCCAACTAACTTGACGACTTTCTAAATATACTCTAAGTAAACATTTCCAAAATATAATTTATATTAATTAGGTGGACTGATGTGATATGTTTTGACACATAAAATGCGTTAAATTATAAATAACTACCATTCTGGCGATAAACTCTTTTTAGCAGAATAAAGACAGTACAAAATTATCACGAATTGGATTTTAAAATATCAACAGGAATTTTTCCATATACCCATATAATCCATGAGATTGAGTGCCACAATTTCCACTCATTGCACTAATATTGGTGGTCACGTGATTGGTAAAAGTAAGTATTATTTCGAGAGAGCTATATCTCCGTATAATACTACTATCTTTAATAATAAAACAGTTTAAAGACATCTGTCTCGATACATTTTGAGAGAATTGCATGAGAAAAGGAGGATTAAGTTCCTACATGACGTCATGAGGACTGTATATTATAGAATACTGTGAGATACTTATTCATTCACAAGGAGATTTGTTTGCCTACCATATCATCTGATAATGAATTACAAGAAATCACAACCCTCTTATAAATAGCACAAAAAAGAATTATTGACTAAATTATCCGAGTGGTTGAAAGAGTCAAAGTGATACATTTAAAGAATAGTAACCATCCTGAAAATTAAATGATCGCAAGAAAGTCCGAGAAGGTTCTCATTGATCCTCATTCCACAATGAACATGAAAATTATAACTTATGCATGTAAAGTTAGTCATACTAACGACTACTAATCAAAAGAAAGATATAAAAACATAGTCTAACCTGCAAGACAACGTCAACTTGGTAGCAGCTGCCCTGACTCCGCTGCTGGCCCCTAAAGGTACTACCAGAGTGCAACAGTGAGGGTGCTACTCCCGCTTGTTTAGGCTTAATCGCGCACTTTGATGATGAACCTGAGCTGGACATCCTCCGGCGCTTCTCATCACACGAGTACTCCGCTGGCATTTGCTAATATTCTGGGAAAATGCAATTTTATCAGTTATTTAACTCAATTAAATAATATTACATACTTGAAATGAAAATCCTCACTCATATCGACATTCGACGATAAATGCCGTTACAGTATGTCAGTGTAACACTTCGATATATATTTTACCAACAATATAACATAACTCAAAGACAAATCTGTGCTTGAGTAGAACTGAGAATTCTAAATCAGAAAGGAAAATTTTTAGTGCTAAGTAAAATGGAATATTATTTTTGAGTTGAAATGTTTTCTTGGGTAAATTTCTATTGATACGATGTTGTCACATTGAAACGTTGAATAATTCCTTTCCTGATAAGAGCCTTTTCCTTGTCGCTAAGTAAAATATTATTTCAGACTCAGATTTATTATTTTCAAGTGTTTTCTCTGTTGTAAAAACAACGGGGCCTGTTGCAACATTACATCTCTACAAAATTTACATAGTACCTCTTCATATATCATGGTAGTGGAGGTAATGAAGCAAACAAGCAAATATCTATATTACTGGATATAATTACTTCAACAATGAATAAACGTAAATACTCCCAAAAATTGTTGTGAGCAAGGACTGCGAGCTGTGTGACTAGACACTAGATAGAGCTCAATATAGATTTTTGAAAACTTTGTCTTGATCTGTACCAAACTAAACACTAGTTTAGTACAGTGTTTAGTACAGAGTAATCCTATGTGGCCACTCTAGCTCCTCTGACGTAATCCAGCTATAATGGCATTGGAACTGCGAGAACTCTATTGTATTACTGCTTCCTGTTCAATAAGCTAATAGAACATTGTAGTTACGACTACGCAATATGTGAACGACCCCTAAAACGGTCAATTCATACAAAATTAGTTTGTACAAATACAAAATTATCAACGTGATTTAATCGAAAAATTGAATTACTGTTATTAAATTATATGCTTCTGATAAACGTCATCAAATGTTTTTCAAAACACATTTTAACAAAATCCCTTCCTTTCCAGGAATTCGGGGATTTTTCTGAGCTATCTTGTTTTAGATCGCTCACACGTTTTATAGGTTTATTTCCATTTCTAACAAAAATGAATGGTAGCTGTGATGGGCTCCTCGTGCAGAAATGCAAGAATATCTTCCTTCTCGCATACACTCGTGTGAGCTTGGAGAAGCATCATGAGCGGGTGTTGATGCTTAATAATAAAAAATAATAATAAAAAATACAAATTGTCCGCTAAACTCTTCCATATCAGTCTTGGTCTTTCTTTTTATAAATTACTGAGTCTTACAAGAATTCTTTGGTTTCGGACTGTTTGTCGTTTTTTCGAGATCATCTTCTGCATTTTTGTTAGAGTTTTCATCTAAAATAGCTGGGGCGCATTGCGCCACTTTAAATTGGCTGGCTGATTTCCTGTGAAGCTGCAGCACCCATTTCATATCCTCTGTCGACTCTTCCGCTAGCTTCTCCAGAAAATCAAATAGTTGCTGAAAGAGATAAGGACTGTAACGGCTGCAAAGTGAGAGCTGACAGTGTTCTAGCAGATATTTGCACTCGTTTGATATCACTGTTTTGTCCACCCCCAATTGCTTTACAAATTGTTCTCTTAAAGGTAGAAGTATCAGATCTACTTCAGCTCCAGCAAGTTCAACAACCATATCAAGGTGATAGTCAGATAGTGTCTCAATACCAGCTAAATACTTCCCAATAAACATCTGCTTACTGTTGCTGGTTGCTATCTTTCCTAGTGCAACTTCCAAAAAATTACGCTCCTTGAGTTTTGATAAAACGTATGCTGCCTCCTCAAACACAAATAATAAGTCCTGGTAAGGCGGCAAAATGTCACGTATTTCATCGGTAAACTCAGAAAACATTTGGAAGCAGCTGATTTGTAACCAGGTCACTTTGAACGCGTGAGCAATCTTGTTGAGGTCTCTAAACATCTCTCCAGATACTGCTGGCAACTTGCCCGTGTATGCAGCTTCAACAAAATACCTAACTGATTGTTCACTAAACTCCTCCATATCTATCGTGAGTAGCTCTAGTATTGTGGTCATGTGATGTATCACAGGACTGTTCAGTGACAGGATGGCCGAGTTTGCCCGAATCTTTGCTCCCTGATTTGCTACCAGTTCTATGTTGTTATGAGTGACTGAGTCCAGAAGTTCAATACCAAAGTTCATCGGAACTACAGCATCTTTGGCTGCTGAGTTTATCAATGTTAGTGTTTTACCGACTTTTACAGGGGGGGGCGGCCGAGGGGGCCTCAGCTCATCATCCTTAAAAACACTCCTTTTATCATCAGATACTTCAACTGATCTGGAATCTTGCAAGAGCTCCGTGTCAGTTGTTTGCAAATTTTCGAAAGACGACTGTCTTTCGCTTATTTCTGTTTCGGGAGTTGATTCCTTCTCAGACTCTGATTCAACTTCATCTTCAGTTGACACCTGTGATAGATCTTTCTTCTTGTTCTGCAAATTCGTATTGTTTTGCGCATTATTTGTCTGTAAATGCTTAGCTTTCTGTGGCTGTGTTTTTGTATGAGTCTCCGGCGGAGTATTGATGACATTCTTATTACTCTGAGCATTCTTTTTCTGTGAATTGTTAGCTTTCTGTGGTTGAGTCTCCGGCGGAGTATTGATGACATTCTTACTACTCTGAGCATTCTTTTTCTGTGAATTGTTAGCTTTCTGTGGTTGAGTCTCCACCGGAGTATTGATGACATTCTTACTACTCTGAGCATTCTTTTTCTGTGAATTGTTAGCTTTCTGTGGTTGAGTCTCCACCGGAGTATTGATGACATTCTTACTTCTCTGAGCATTCTTTTTCTGTGAATTGTTAGCTTTAGTGTGTGGTGCTTGAGTTTTATTGGCCTGCTTCTTTTCCACTGGTCTCTTTCTTGAGTGGCTTGGTCCAGGCTGATTTTGTGCTTGGTTTCCATCTCCAAATTGATGACGCGGTCTGTAATACTGATCGGGAACAGGACCTCGTCCAATGTAAAAGTTCTGTTCGGTCATTTCGAAATTGGGGCGGTCAAAGCCATGCTGTTGTTGCCATTGTGGCATTTCATTCGGCAGTGGCGGGTGCATAAGATCAAGAGTGGGTATTATCGTACCCCTTAGATCATCATGAAAATATTGGTGTTGGTGAATATCACTCATCATAGGACCATCTTGTTCAGGAAGAAAATGAAAATCATTTCTTGGTTCGCCTTGATTAGGTTGCCAAGGCTGATTTCTTCTACTGCTTTGTTCACGTTCTCTTCTTAGATCATCATGAAAATTTTGGTGTTGGTGAATATCACTCATCATAGGACCATCTTGTCCAGGAGGAAAATGAAAATCATTTCTTGGTTCGCCTCGACCAGGTTGCCAAGGCTGATTTCTTCCTCTGCTTTGGTCACGACTTCTTCTTGGAAATCCTCGTCCTCTGCCCCTTGGATTGCTCGAACAAGGTTGGGAACGGTCACTCTCACGATGACTTCCACGGTCACTTCCATCGCTAGAGCCGGACAGTAGCCCTCTCTTAGACATACCCCCAAAGTATACAGTTTTGAGCTAAGATGCCATTGTGACCTGCAATAATTGAAATTGTCATCGTTTAAAGCTTAAAAACGGTTTCAAAAATCTACCTTAATTCCTAATAATTTGTACACTTTCTGCCATTCTTAATTAAAGGGATTTCTACTGTCCAGTGATAAAATTAAGGCAACAAAAAAATTGATAAATTATAACATTGTAATTTATTCAAATAGTGGGGAGCTAAAGGTGAACCACATTGTTTTTGACACATGTCACTGATTCAAGGATAGATATTCTGTCACCAGAAATAAACAACATGGCCCACCTCCACGCTGTCAAACAAGTCTATGAAGTTATATATTATCTTGAAATTACATAATAAATTGGATTCATTGCGAACAGGCATGGCTCTACAGGGGGGATGCGGACCCCCCCCCCCCCCCCCCCCCCTCCAGAAAAATCCCAAAAATTAATTTTAGGGCAATTTTACGCTAAAATCAGCTAATTTTAAAGATTTTTCAGGGTTTTTTTTTCAAAAAAATTTTAAATTTTGATTAAAAAACTTTACTAATATTGAACACAAGTTTATATTACAAAATTGCATTGATTATCCATATATTTACCGTGTTTATGAACCAAGTGTTTACGATCAGATTTCTTTTTTTGGGTTGGCTGCCCAATCTGGCAGCCACCCCTTCATGGCTGAGTGGGAGATGAAGCTCGTACGCCCAGAAGAGGCCCGAACTGATGATTCCTGTAACCGGTAACTGCAGTCACGTGCAACTTGGCAATTGTCTATTTTTGGGGGGGGGATGGTGTTTATTTTATACATACAATTGATCTACCCAAACATACAAATAGCGTACATGGCTTCTACGGATCCACCTAAGAAGAAACAGAAGCTATCCCAGAGTAAACTGTCCTTTGGTACCAAAGAAACAGGTTGGTTCTTTTAGATTTTAGATCAAAGGTCTTTTACGAATCAGTCCGAATACACAATTAAACTTGAATTACAAGGTTATTATACTTAACTCTAACATATTTCAGCATTGCATTAGCAATAAACAAATAGCAAGCTTCTAGTGACTAAGCAGTTTAACAGGTTTTGCTGTACATGTGCTGTATATGTTATGTGTAACGTGGCACTATTTGAAGCATTCGTCCCACTTTTCAGAATTGCAATAATTGTACTTTGTGTAACTGTGAATGACAATTAAATTTGAATGCCATGAATGCTGTAGCCTTTGCTGATGCCTGATTAATAAGATTATCAAGTGATTTAAATGTCAAATCATCACATGCATGTATAATTGGTTGATGAATGATGGCACTGATTTGTTGCAAGATGGTATCTTGAGATATCTTTTAGGATATCTTAGTTTTAGCATAAAGTTTAATTAGGGACGTAGAATTTAGCATGAATTTCCGGGTAGAACTTTCAACTTTCCGCGGTTATTAAATTGGAGTAGTTTATATTTCAATCTGTCAGACAAGAGCCGTGGTGCCGTCACGCATTATTGCGTGACGGCACAACGCATCTAACGTATAATGGCAGTCAAGTCAGTATAATCAATAATGTAATGTGGTCTTGACTTTTGTTATTTCTCAGGCCCCAGTATTAGTACTGCTACTGATACCTCTGCCCTTTCTACGAATGAATAATGATGAGTGCCTCTCTGATGATGACTTACAGCAGACTAATGATGTCCCACACTCACAAGAACACCAATCTGAAGCAGGAGTCCCTACAGACAGGTTTCAATAATTGGAGCAACGCTGTTGGTGATGTGAAGAAAGGGTTAGAACAGCACAATCGTTGTACGGCACATAAAGACGCATATTCAAAGTGGGTTCAATATAGGCAGAATTGCAACAGTGTGACTGAAATGTTGAACCCAAGTAGACCAGTGCTTGTGAAACAGCACAGAGAGTATTTCGCTATGTTGATATCTTATATCAGATACTTCTGTGTTCAAGGACTTGCCTATCGTCATGAGGATGAACACGATGATGAAGCTTTAAACCGCGGCAATTGGGTGGAGTTTATCCAGGTCACACTGGAAACAAATAAGGACTTTGCTCATTTACAAAGCCTTGTCAGAGAACAGATAGGAAAAGAAATGCAGCAGTCTGGGATTTATTTGTTGATGTTTGACGAGAGTAAAGATAACAACGGACATGAGCAGATATCGGTGAATTTCCGCTATTGCTTTGAAGGCAGGATCAAGGAGAGGTTCATTGGACTCATCAGATTGGCTGATCAATTCACAGCGGAACATATCACCTCACTTCTGCTACCTTTGCTTGATTGTTTGAAGCAATGTGGGATGCTGGTAGGAGTCACTACAGATGGTGCTAGCGTGCTGGCAGGAAAGTTCAATGGAGTAGCGGTTAAGCTAAAGGAGCAGTATCCCTGGATCATCCACATTCATTGTACAGCTCATAGGTAGGATAGTAATAATAGGTTGCATCTAATAGCATTTTCTGCAATTTAGTGACAGTTTAAATTTGTTGGTAGCTGTAATGAGCTCCTTGTGCAGAAATGCATGAGTATCTTCCTCCTTGCTGACACTTGTATGAGCTTGGAGAAACATCATGCGCGGGCTATCCCGTGAATGTAAGCTTGTATATATATATAGTCAGCACACCTTACCTTGTTTTACAGTTTTGGCAGGAACTTAACCATTTTAATTTGCAATCGTTATTATAAATAAAAAACTTTTACATGTTTTTAGCTATACTATGACCTCACAATCTGGTAATGATTTTGTATCACATGCAGAGTATCTGTCTACTTTCGTTAATTCTGCTAGCAAAGAACTTAATGCAAAAATCGTATTCATTGTCAAGGATAGCCCTAAGACATGTACGTCTGGCCAGAAATACTCAGCAAACCACGAGCTCATCTGCAAACTTGATGGATGTGTGTCACTGCGGCACAACTCGGTGAGAGACACCTTTGCAGGACTAATTTTAATGAGAACTGAGAAATGCAAGGAAGACTGACCCAGTTCTTCCAGTTGATGGTCTAGAGTTGTCAAAGGGAGTAGTCCTATCCGAAACGGCTTGTGGGAGCTGGCTGGCGGTTGTGTTAATTAAATTATTCTAATGCAAGGCAGGATTTCAAATATTACATCAAAGCTAGAACTTACCATGCATATACTAGCACATGTCGACATGTTTTACAGGGTTTATACAATACCCACAGGGCCTGTATACAATGTGTAACAGGTGACAGCAAACAAACCGGAAACTTATAAAATGAGTTAAATAGGACACCACACGTGTATGATCTCAGCCGCTTAGTATGATAGCAGATAGTTCAAATCGCATAGTTGCCCAAGGGTCCTGGATGTATAAATTTCCAGTATGTTGATGCAATGTTGTGTTTTGTAGTATTTGCAATTAACTGTGTGTTGACTACACGCGGCTGAGGCGTCCAAACGAGGATTGGACGCCTCACAACATGATTTCACAAAGATCATGCATGCGCTTGCATTCAAACGTTTGAGTAAAATAACAATCTTTATATCACAATATTTATTTTCTCAAGCACCAGATAATAATTTTAGGGCGTCCTAGGGGACCAAGTAAGGCTGAACATTTCTGCAAGATCGGTTTGGAATGCTTCAGAGCAGTGGCGTAACAAAGGGCCCTGCTGACCCTGCTGTGCGGGGGGCGCCATCTTAGGGGGGGCGCAAAATCGTCCATTGAATGTGGTACAAGGGTACTAGCAAAACTGCGCGTTTTGATCTAGAAACACACTTTTTGGAGATTATACCGGCGTATCCTCTAAAATCACCTAATTTGTTCAATTTTAGGGAGAGGTGCCAAATGGAGACCTAAATGCATACCTCGACAAACATGCCACTTGTGCACGAGCCAGACCTTATACAAAACAGAGGTTAGGAGCTGCTTTTTTCGAAAAAGAGCACACCAAGCCCATTTTTAATCGACTAAAATTGCTTACTGTTCAAAACTTGTACAAATACCACTGTATATCTGAGATATTTCGAATTATGAAATTTCGCACTCCATACTCGTTGTATTGTACTATAGACTCATCAAAACGTGATACAAGCAATGTCATAATCCTCCCAAGAAAAACCAACACTTTTCTTTATATAGCCTCCAAATTGTGGAATAGCATACATAAACGGATTCTAAATGAGAATGGGGAAATCCTCACTACTTCTGTATCTTTGGTTAAATTACGCTGTAAAAGTATCATCCTGGGATCTCAATCCATCAACAATAATAACACCTGGACTTACCACAACTTTCACATCGCCCCTCACTCAATCACAGACCAAACCATCTCATCACTCACTCACCAAATTGCCGACCCAATATCTATTGAAGTGGCGAAAATTTTCTAGACAAATGATATTTCGATATTATTGCTGCAGCAGACACAAATACCAACATTATTATATTCCCAAACGTTTGAACCTTTAAATTAACTAGGAAAGTCAATCCTCAACTTGACTTTTACTGTTTTAAACAGATATGATGATATTAACTTAATTTATTATTATTATTTTTATTTTATTTTAACATACTCCTTCTTAGTGTGGTGACTTGGGGTCCATAAATATAACAATACAAGCTGATAAACCAAAAAGAACAACTGGGGTAGGTAGGTAGCCCTGGTGGGTGCGTAAACTTTACGGTCTGCTCTCTCCAAGATCAGCCTGCTTCTCCATTTTACCGTGAAGCCTAATTTCTAGTTTCTATAAAATATACAATGCAAGTGCAGGTTTACTAATCTTAATCTACTTAACAACTCAATAGCCCAAGTCACCATACCCGTAGTATATTCCATGGTAATAGAAGAGCTTTAAAGTTTTTCAAATTGTTGCTATAATTGATTTAAATAAAAATTTGTTGTTTTCTTGAAAAGGGGAGAGAGCGCCAACAGGGGGGGGGGGGGGGGGCATTTTCGGCGGTGGGGCACCAACAGGCAACGTTACGCCACTGCTTCAGAGAGGGCATATTTCGATGTAAGGGTGTTCCATGTACATGCCCCAGTCCCCTCCAATGCAAGCGAATCGATCCTAGCAATGTACCAGTCCCATGAAAATGAGAGAAAACGGTGTTACAAGGCAATACAAGGGTTCTCGAAGTGGAGAAAGGAAACTTCACACCGTTAGTTTTCTCAACATCTGGTGGAATGGGTAGTTAGTCAAAAGACTTGGATTTGGACTTGGAGCCACAAGGCCAAGTGATATAAATAATTTTTGATTTAATATAATAGGGTCATTGTGATATTATGTTTATATAAAAAAAAGGAAGCAACTCACGGTATCACTCTCAGAAGAGACATGTTTCATCATTTACCGGAATTGCAACCAAATATACACAATAAGGTTTGGTACTTTATCCGTACATCCCCTTTAATAGCTACAATAAATTGTCTATAAAATTTACATAAACAAACTTAAGAGACCTCAAAGCTCGTCTTCTGAGGAATGAGATTGAAGGATACGTAAACCAGTCCAAGGTGCTGGGCTTTTTGTCTTCCTCTGATTCCCCTGAGTGCTATGAGTGTGCTTCGTAGCAGATCAAACCTGAATCGTGTTCTGATGTGATTTTTGACCTGGCTCTTAGCTTCTTTATTGTGGTCAGCTATCCTTTCAGAAATACGATCTACAAACACAGTGCAGAGTGGGCCCATACCTCCGGATGTTGTAAAAACTAGTGGGACAAAGGACCCTTTCTCTGACTGAAGTACTCTCTCCTCATATAGATCTTTCTTCTCTTTCTCATGCGCACTGTAGATTTTATCTAGTGGCTTAAATGTATTGGAGTCGCAATTAGGATGAGTGACCCTGATGTCAAAGAATGTTCTTTCGAATGGAGCATACAGTCCAACAGCTGCTACGTCCAGACGGGCTTCATCCTGGGTGTTGGTCTTCCTGGAGAATGAAGTTGGTTGGACAGGTAAGAGTGCAGGTTCTATCCTTACATCCTTACACTTTGCTTCTTGAAGGAAGAAAGCTGCAGTGTCTCTAATGGCATTGTGGCGCATGCAAACGTATCCACCTAATTTACAATCAAGGGAGTGGTAGACACTGTTTGCATGTCCGCAAGCACAATTAGAGGGCACTCCTTGGATCTTCCATCCATAGCGTAGGCGTATGCTGTCTTGGAACTCTTCCTTGTTTAGAACATAGTTGAGGTCCTTTAGAGGTAATGCTGAAAGCCATGTTGATGCTCCCTTCTCTCTTGCTTGGTTTAAGTGGTTCTTAAGAAGATGATCTGACCCATTATAAAGCATCTTGAACCTTTGTGATAGAAACTCATCTTTCTGTTTTCTCAGTTCTTCTTTCTTTTCTTTCATCTTGCCCATATCCAGCTTTGTGATATCCTGGTCTTGTTGGTTGATTAAACTCACAAGATCTTTAGTGAGTGCCACTGAGAATGCATATTATGTTTATATTGTATTAATTTGAAAAAGAAATTCTGATATTTCGTTAAAGGTTTTTTTAAAACTACTAAATAATATGCACATAAAAGAAATAAATAAACAATATACACAAATAGATTCGGCAATGGTAATTGTCTTGCTATAAGATTAGACACCTAAAAGTAAACTTCTGTCAATAAATTAGTAAATAAAAACGGTATAAAGTTTTAAAACCCAGGGTAGAAAATAAAACTCTTTATTTACACTTTAGTTGACTCATTGATTTTAAAGGCGGAATTTGTTTTAACTCATCCGAAAAATTGTGCAGGCCGGGGGCAAAAGTCAATACCCATACGTTGGGTCTTATTCCAACGGCCACCGATAACTGTCTTTCATATTTGAGAGTTGTTGCTTTGCAAATGGCATACTGTAGTAATACTTGTTCGAGAATTACCGTCACCAAAATTTGAAAATTCGATTTTTGGGGGCTACAACCAATACAAGCAACATCAAATTATTTATTACATAAGGGGCAGTTTAAATATTCTCCGCGAAAGCTCACTCCCCAAATTGCGCGCATTGTAATTTATCGACAGAAGCTGAAGTCTACTTTAATTATATCTTAACGCATAACTGATGACGAAGTACTTTATGACAAAGTATTGATAACAAAGTACTATCATCTATATACCTTGTTATACGTTGTATGACCCGCCGCGCACGAGTGCGCGGCTCCCCCTGTATCGTCGAAACTCTACTATAGTGAAGCGACAGTGGGGGTCACCACGTGATACAATATATACCTATTACCTACATATGTATCGTCGTGACCCCCATTATCGCTTCACTTAATTGACGAGGTCAATTCTTCGTGCAGCTCGGCGAGGCCCAGTAGGGCATCTCGCCGATCTAAGGAGAAGCATTATTGGATGCGCGGCGCGGCCCGGTTGCCAGTAACGCATCGCGCTACAATAGTTTTACTAGTATTGTGGCGAAAGCCACGATATCAGATACAGCTGCGCACACGTGCGCGACAGGTCTACAACGTGTGACTTCACCTAACCATGTGCTTTTTGCGTTGCAGGTTTACAACCTCAAACCTACCAGGACGCGCGCTGAGTTGGACTCGTCGACTAGACGGTCCTAATATATGGAACAAATATTTTACGAGTATCACCCGTTAACTTTCGCGCCGCTGCGGGCGCGCTTGTTTCATGTTTCACAAGTCAAGGCGTGAGGTGGGCGCGCACTATTGCAAGTGCAAGGGCTTTGGATAGAGCAAACGTGTGACAAACCTAAATTAGGGAGAGTACAAGCCAAACACAAAAATCTTTCGTATAACTATAAGGATCGCATGCCTTTTTACTCTACAGACGCTTAACTGAGCTTTAAGTGACGTTAATTTTAAGTGACGTGATCAGCCCAATTCTTGTCAAATTAGCTTTTAGATTTTGTATTATGACTCAAACATAACATGAACCAAACACAATAATTTATAGCTTTTAACGGAGAATGACGCGGCTCCTTTTAGTTTCCCAAAGTCGTGAAATCGGACCAAACATAAAGTGAAAGTCGTAAGTTTGGATTTAAGAATTCTGCTCCGCTTCAGCTTGCACCCACAACCCAGGAATGAAAAATTAACCGTACCGACCGGCTAGGGTCTATCTCCGAAAGTAAAATTAAAAGACATAGACTACCGGTTTTCTGCAAAACGTTCGTCTAGTTGTATAAATTTTGATTTTAAAGTTAGCTCTCCAGTAGCACAATTTGGGAAAACATAGATTTTGAGCTATCCAGAAAAGTTTTATTTTGCGCCGAATAAAAGTTGGTAACTTTAACAATTTGCGGATTCCTGTCTTATGATTTGTTTTGTGTTTGCGTCTTGGACATGATTGATAGGTCCGGACCACTTTATAATGTATAATTTTGCAGTTGACATTTACAATTCAAGTTTGCTTTACCCGGGGACCCCAGGCTATTATGATTTATAAATCAAGAGGCTTCCATATAATGAACATATCGACATGGGTGCAGAGTTGAGTCTGTACGGAACCTAGTAGTTTCAGTTCCTTGTTCATAAACATAACCGCGCGCCGTGTTGGACTCGTCGACGGTCTTGGAATATTTGGAACAAATTTTTTACGAGTATCACCCGTTAACCTTGCAAGCCTCTCTCGTGCACGCGATCACAGTGATAATAGAAAATAAGCAAATAAATTCCTGAAGTTTGGTTATATCATAAAGAGATAAATAGTGCTTGAACTGAATTATGTACTAAAATTATAAAACAGCAGAGCATACGAGTCATCCGTACATACATATTATAATTTATGCCACGACAGTAACGCACAATGAACATCAAGAATCAAGACCGCATCTCTCATACACTCGAAAATAATTTAACCTAATGTCAACCTAGCGACTAGCGTTCTAGCATGACTGGCGTTCTAGATAACTACGACAAAAACCCCCTATAAAAGCATTAAAAAATGATGTTTTACATAGTCATATAAGTAGAGATGATGCCTGCAATATGTAACAAAATAAAAATAATGATCAAATTACACATGAAAGTCATAAAAAGTAATAAGAAAACTTTATAAAATTTATAAAATGTTTAAATCGCCTAAATCCAAAAACCCTAGAATTTTACTAATGGTCACTCTTCCATACATATCAGGAACATCATTTCTTGGCTACATTTAATTTTTTGCCCTTTAACAAATATAAATGTTTAGTTAGCCACAATGCTTTAGCGAGTTCGGTTTTGCTATTCAATGTGCTGAATAGGCTGATCAGTATAGTCAAAGACAGTTTTGATCACGTTTACTAGGTCTCATTTGGTTTCATTTCTCATTATATTATAATTTAATTTTTACATAATTCTCGACACGTCCTTCTTAACATGCATACGGCCTGCACCGCGAGGAGATATCAACTCGAGTCTTTTCTATCAATCCTCGGTTTCTATTTCAGTATTTTAGTAGACTGGATCTATGGAATGTGTGTAGACTGGATCTATGGAATGTTTCGTCATGGAATTGTCTAATGACTATTTTAAATCCTAAAATATCTGTCCTCCTACATCTTCCTACATCTCGGTAGCGTTGAGGAACTGACACCAGGCTCTGTACTCGTTGCCGCATTTGAATCCAGCGATGTAACGCTTGAAGATAGCACCACAGCTCGTCTGCTTGGTGAAACGAGTGATCTTGATATCAACTTCACGTCCGTCCGCCCACAACGATTGTTCTAAGAGAGATCAGGATGTAAAGTATGTAAATAATGTGCGCTATTTACAGTTGCCACAAATGCGATTAGTGTCTATTTTGATCACGAGTTTAGTTTTACAGGCTGCAGACAGAGTATCAGTTACAGTATCGGTACCGTCAGGCGAGAATGAAAAAATCCCGTACGAAATGATTAAGGGCGCTTGAATTCACTCTGATTTAATTGAATGTAGAACAATTTACATTCCCTCTCCCACTTTGATACCTTTCACTGGTTGAGCAGTAATAAAAATTTAAAAATCTACACTATCTTACCTGTTTTGCCATCGTAAGAAGCTCCAATCCAGATATATTCGCTGGCAGAAATATCTTGTTCCATTGCGTGGTCCAAAAGTTGACGGTGGACGCTCTGAGAGATAATCATTAATAAAAACGAGAACGAAATCATAAACGTTCTATAAAATCATCGCATCATAATGGCATGATGCGATGATATTGATAGATGAACCTGTCATCCAAATCGAGGTCATTGATCAAATTAAAAATTTAGAACCCATAATGAGATAGTTAAGTTGAATTATATTCTAAAAATAGAACTCACTCTATCACTAGACCAGGTAGCCAGCATTCCTCCCTCACGTTTACAGTAAGCTCTAGCCTGATTGTAGGTCAACTTATCCGGAGTTAATTCTGGAATGGTGGAGTAATGTTAGTTGACTACCGACGAGAAATAATCAGATTATCTGAACCACTTACCGTGGTGAGTCAGATATCCGATGTGAGTTGTACATTTTCATATTTTAAAATTAATACCCTAATAGCATTAAGGTCTTGGACTGTTGTAATCATCCTTACACAAATCGTAAAACTAACACAGTCTCATATCTAATATGTTTCTAAACAACGAAGGGACAAAAATGCCGTTCCCTCTCCTTATATGGGCATCACGTGTCACTTTAATTAACTCACCGTAGCAAGATTCGTAGCTGGAAAATCCTTCACATCGTCTCTCCTCACCCTCACTATCTTCTTCATCATCATCATCATCAGTCTTGGACATCAGCTTCTCAATAGATCTCAATACATTTCGCATCTGTTCGGACAGATCTTCATATTTCTCTTCCATTACTACTAAGGATCCTTCCACGTCATTCATCTGAAATATTGCTTTGTGAACAGGCACATCGACAAAAGGTTGACTCTATGAACTGTGTGGGTTACAATAATAAAAACCCAAAAGCAAAAGATATATTGTGTCTCAACTAAGCTTGTGTTTCACAAAAAAGTAGAAAGCAAAAACAAACCGCTTCTTTTAGCTGGTAGTTCTCCATTCTTAAGTCATCATGACTCTGCACAATTGACTGCATCTGTATCCTTTGTTGTTCTGATTGATCTTCTAAATCTTCGATTGAGTTACTTAATTCGTCGTTATTAGCCTGAAAATAAAAAGACGATTGAAATTATTATTAATTGTTCCTGATTCATTCAGAAAGAACCGCTTTTAATGAAGTGAGAGGGAAGGGCTGCCTTTAAACAGAAAACGAACGATTATTGTTTTAGATTTTCAGGCTCACGCCTCACACAAGAATGAACAATTCGAACCTATTCCTCCATAATATCTATTCACATAGCTATTTTAGGAATTTCTTCAGCTTATTAAGTTAAAAAGAGCAGGCTAAAACGTTTCTTAAGTTTTAGCCCGCCCTAGACGGCGTAATAAGTGCAACTGATACAGTATTGTTAGATTCTGCAACGAGACCTCTAAACTTTCGCTAATTCACGTACCTGGAATGGGATTTCTTCGTAATTGTTGCACATTCCTGCTTTATTTGTTGTAGGGTTATAGTACATACCAACACCGCTCTCACTGCAGTCTTCTCCTGTTGGAAATTAACATGTTATAACAGACAAACGGTGCGGCAAACTGGCAGAATTGAATTTTAAAAGGATCATTTGTCAGACTGCAAAAAATGTAAAAAATTCGAACACGCCGGGTGAAAACTATGTATTATCGGAATCTGCTGATCTGCAAGTGCCACGTTGTTGTGTCACAATTAAATGTTAAGTTCACTTGAATAAGAAATGTGTAATTACTGATGGCATTGGAATCGTTGGAGTCTCCGGAATCCATGGTTGGACTATCACTTGGCATAGATCCTGAGTGTGTCCTCTCTGTTGGTTCCCTGTTAGAAAAGGTTTTAATATTTTTAAACTAGCGGTGGGGGGGGGGGGGGGGCAACTTAAAATGTTTAAATTTAAGGGAATCTAAATCAAGTAATTTGATTAAAATCAGTTTTTTGTTTTTAATTTGGGACTTGACAACTGAGGCGCACCTGCCGTATTTTTCAGTGGTCGTAGGCGGATAGTATCCGGACGATGTCTCGTCTGATTCGGTAACATACCCTGTAGTTGCGGACTCTGAGGACCCCTCCGATGAACTTTCTTCTCTTCTTTGACTGGTCGTCGTACTCGATGACTGGTTTTGCTCTTCAGATGGTGAAACTGATCCTTCAGATTGTGAATCTGATCCCTGAGATGGCGATTCTGATTCCTGGGAAGGTGATTCTGATCCTGGAGAAGGTGATCCTGATGCTTCAGATTCTGAAACTGGTCCTTCAGATGGTGAAACTGATCCCTCAGATGGTGATTCTGATTCCTGAGAAGGTGATCCTGATCCTTCAGATTGTGAATCTGTTCCCTGAGATGGTGATTCTGATTCCTGGGAAGGTGATTCTGATCCTGGAGAAGGTGATCCTGATGCTTCAGATTCTGAAACTGGTCCTTCAGATGGTGAAACTGATCCCTCAGATGGTGATTCTGATTCCTGAGAAGGTGATCCTGATCCTTCAGATTGTGAATCTGTTCCCTGAGATGGCGATTCTGATTCCTGGGAAGGTGATCCTGATCCCTGAGAAGGTGATCCTGATCCCTGAGAAGGTGATCCTGATCCTTCAGATTGTGAATCTGTTCCCTGAGATGGTGATTCTGATTCCTGAGAAGGTGATCCTGATTCCTGAGAAGGTGATCCTGATCCTTCAGATTGTGAATCTGTTCCCTGAGATGGTGATTGTGATTCCTGGGAAGGTGATTCTGATCCTGGAGAAGGTGATCCTGATGCTTCAGATTCTGAAACTGGTCCTTCAGATGGTGAAACTGATCCCTCAGATGGTGATTCTGATTCCTGAGAAGGCGATCCTGATCCTTCAGATTGTGAATCTGTTCCCTGAGATGGCGATTCTGATTCCTGGGAAGGTGATCCTGATCCCTGAGAAGGTGATCCTGATCCCTCAGATTGTGAAACTGGTCCTTCAGATGGTGAAACTGATCCCTGAGATGGTGATTCTGATTCCTGAGAAGGTGATCCTGATCCTTCAGATTGTGAATCTGTTCCCTGAGATGGCGATTCTGATTCCTGGGAAGGTGATCCTGATCCCTGAGAAGGTGATCCTGATCCTTCAGATTGTGAATCTGTTCCCTGAGATGGTGATTCTGATTCCTGAGAAGGTGATCCTGATTCCTGAGAAGGTGATCCTGATCCTTCAGATTGTGAATCTGTTCCCTGAGATGGTGATTCTGATTCCTGGGAAGGTGATTCTGATCCTGGAGAAGGTGATCCTGATCCTTCAGATTCTGAAACTGGTCCTTCAGATGGTGAAACTGATCCCTCAGATGGTGATTCTGATTCCTGAGAAGGTGATCCTGATCCTTCAGATTGTGAATCTGTTCCCTGAGATGGTGATTCTGATTCCTGGGAAGGTGATTTTGATCCCTGAGAAGGTGATCCTGATCCTTCAGATTGTGAATCTGTTCCCTGAGATGGTGATTCTGATTCCTGAGAAGGTGATCCTGATCCTTCAGATTGTGAATCTGTTCCCTGAGATGGCGATTCTGATTCCTGGGAAGATGATCCTTGAGAAGGTGAAACTGATCCTTGAGAATCAGATGCATAAGATGCATAAGTTTGTGAACTTTGTTCTCTAACGTGTCCTGAAGAATCATGATCTGTATTATAGGTGGGTTTATAAGTAGTGGTGGGCTCTGGAGCAGTAGTTCGCTCTGGGGTAGTTGTTGGCTCTGGGGTAGTTGTTCGCTCTGGGGTAGTTGTTGGCTCTGGAGTAGTTGTTGGCTCTGGGGTAGTTGTTCGCTCTGGGGTAGTTGTTCGCTCTGGAGTAGTGGTAGGTTGGGGTGTGGTGGTTGGTTGATGGGTAGTAGCAGGAGCTGTTGTTGCCTCACGGCAAGTATCTTCTAAGTTCATCACTTCACAGATGATACCCTCGAATTTATCAATCTTGATGTAGGAGGCATCATTCATTCTTTGCATGGACCCCTTGTAAGGAATTTCAGCTTGCTGGGTGGCACCACTACTATCTCGGTAATGAACGTGAAGTTTATCGCTCTCAGACACTAAACTTACAACCACTTCTCCTTTGGGAGGAATAACATCTGCGTCACCTGAACAATAATACGCGATCAGATTGATGAACTATAATGTAAAATTATATTCTGTATCAACCATTGAATAAAGAATGCATCGATTGTGTACATTATTTAGCTATATTTTATGTAATATTTTTGTCGCATATGAGCGGGGTAGTAAATACTGTGTTTCGTTTCGATAAATATTAAATCAAGAGACTTACTTGCTGGAACCCATTTTTTGGTTCCTTTTCCGGTCATAAACTGAAGATAAACTCCAAGCTGAGGCATGATAGGGTTCCTCCACGTGATCTGACCCAGATAACCATCTCCTCCGGCACCGTCGTAGAATGAAATTCTGATACCTTTATCCCCAGATCCAACAAGTTGGGTGATCACTTCGGGATCAAACGGGTGGTACTCCTGTGACGTGACATCACTTGGCTCCGTTGCAGCGGCGACAAAGCCTGTGGAGGGATATGTGTCAAACAAAGAACAGCACTAAGAAAGTTTAATGAGTTTAAAGTTATAATTTTGTGGGTCAGAAAAGGTAAGAAATATTGTAGTAATCGGGTAAAAACAGAATGACCACGGCGGAAACTTACCAATAGCGATGGTGAGGATGGTTAGTCGATATAACATACTTGATCAACACTAAAATAAGACTGTGATAATGAATTGAAGTCTATTCGAAATGAATAAATTAACATCGGGTACTACAAAAATTCAACAATCACATAATAATAATAATCCGCTACTTGCGCGAGAAGGTTCTAGGACAATCACTAAAGATCCTCCGAAACATTAACGGCTATAAACAGAATAACAAATATTCCACCCCAAACAAGATGTGAAATACAGGAAAATATAACAATTCCTAGCTGTTTCCAGCTGCAGATCAGGCGCCAGAAAGGAAGCCAGGGAAGTGAGTGCAATGCAAGACAATGTAGAAATGGGATCAAGGACGGGCAGCATGATGTAAGACAATTGGATTAGAGGCCCACACTCCACCCACCACTGGAATCGTATTACCCGGCCTGTAATACCCAGATATCAGGTTCAGCGTCACACCACCACAAATTGACGCGTGGGCATGACCCCATAACGTCTAGAGTAAAAACAAAGGAGACCGCTGGTGGCAAGATGGGGAGAAAGGGGCTGACTACTGAGAGTTGTTTGTTTACTCTGCGGTCAGGGTCGCTACATGCTCCGGGGCTATACATAATGAGATTCCAGGGAGCTCTGGGAGTCTGCATAAATGTAATTAATTGTTGAATATCTGGTGAGCTTGACACTCGCAGGGGGGAGGGGTACACTCCAGCTGCCACATTCCACGGGTCCCGCGAGACCCGCACGACACTCCGAGTAGACTTTTACCTTGTAATCTAGTTCCGGGCCAAACGGTTCCGGAATTATACTCCGGGAATCGAAGGATCATTGCTCTGTTGTAAGAAAATTATTGTTTGAGCATTTGAACGCAAAACAAAAGACAAAAATAGAAGTATGCAAACTGAGTAATGTCTAGATAAGAAGTGAGAGGGTAATCAGATACTACAGGAACGCAGGGGGATCACGTTGCCTGCTAACTTGCTTGTCTGGTGCAGCCACCGACCACAGAGTCGGGACACTAAGACAGAAGCAACACGAAACTAGCGGGGGAACACAACTCACACGCCCCAGATCCCAGATCACCCTCACGCCAGCTCTCTGCAGCAGTCTGACCGGAGCGAGGCTGCTACGCCGAACATTTGGTCATCAGCTCTAATACTATTTTTACTGGTGACGGTTGCAATTAGCACTGATGATAAGGGTGATGACCAATTTCATTTTCTTGCTGAACCTAAAACCCTTAAAAACAGAAAAAGGTCGTACAAGAGTACAACTAAAGCAGGGGATACAAGGGCGGTAATGAATTAAGAGAAATGACATCCAAGCCTATAGTGCGCGACAAGCTTAAGGGGATTAAAAGCGGGCCTTCAAAGGCACGTGTACCCAGGAAATTCTTGACATTCCACAAAAACACACTCCTTGATTTCGGCGTTATGTTTTGGAAAGGGTACCCCCGATACATCCATAACTTTATTATTTCATTTCAATGATCTAGAACAAAGCTTTGCAATCTGCAGTAACTTGTGCAGAACAAAGAGAATTTGTATCCTAGTAACGAGGAGAAAAACTGATAAGTTCCAGGAGCTCTACTGGACAGAAATAACGCACAGGAGGAGAGGGTGCCAATGACAAATCGGTACCTGCAAAGCGAATAATTGTGGACATTAGCAAACATACTGATGCAATAAAATCCTGATCCAATATAATCACGGGTATAAAGAAGGATGAGTTTTATCTGATGTAACACAGGGCACACCCTATCTGATGTCTCACACCGAGCTTAGTGTCTCACAGCGAGCTAAGTGTCTCGGAACCTGGCTACATGAAACCAAAAACGGAGCAAGGCGAGGGAAATTTAGAACCATTTTAAAATCCCATTAGAAAGATGATTAAAATAAAACAATCAACTTCGCCCAAAGATAAATATTGGGTGTCTGTTTACTGGGCACTATCCAAGAAGCGTGCACCAGTCTGTGCACCAGTCCGTGCACCAGTCCGTGCACCAGTCCGTGCACCAGTCCGTGCACCAGTCCGTGCACCAGTCCGTGCACCAGTCCGTGCACCAGTCCGTGCACCAGTCCGTGCACCAGTCCGTGCACCAGTCCGTGCACCAGTCCGTGCACCAGTCCGTGCACCAGTCCGTGCACCAGTCCGTGCACCAGTCCGTGCACCAGTCCGTGTACCAGTCCGTGCACCAGTCTGCACACCAGTACGTGCACCAGTCTGCGGACTACTTATGACATGGTGATAAACAGATCCAATTAGTGACGCCAGAAAACATTCTAACTTTGCTCCGTTCACTGTTTAAAGCGGCGCGACTTTCTAATTTCCATTCTAGTAAGGCTAACCTTAAAACTCAGCATAGACTTTTCCAGAAACAAGCAACCGAATGAACCGATGCAGTAGACTGAAGGTTATCTGTATTCCTCACAAGGAAAGTAGTTTTAAACACTAGCAAGTTATTTTTGGACATGATCTTTTAAAAGTTCTCTAGTATCACCTTCTTAAAGTCAGAAAGGTGTTATGCGACATATATAACCACAATCCCACGATACTGATTATCAACTAAAGCTATGAACTGGCCTTCAGAGCTACTCATGCTCACGAATGTAAGTCTGGAATATTTGCAATAATTTGGAAAACGGAAAGTTTTGGCTTATGATTTAGATTACGTTTTGAAGAAAATCAAAGAAATCTCCCTTTATCGAAAATAGACAAGGCGTACCCAAAAAGATAGAGTGAAAAGTACGTTTAACATTGAGAGTATAGTAACCATAGTAACCATGATAATAATAGTTTCTGTCGCTGACAACAAGGCTTGTTTTTTGAAAAGTCACTAGCCGACATCTGGATTTATTCAAAAAGCAACAGATAGACGCCTGTCAACTAGATTCTAGGATACCTACGACGCCTTCTAGGCGATGGATCATGGATGGTATAGCTGTCATCTTATATCGCGGAAATGCTGCGTTATGAAACTAAATTTCTGTCGCATGGTTGAAACATTTACATTTACAAGTAATTTTCGCTGGCTTATCGAACAAAATGGAGCTATATAATTTAGGGGACACTAAATTCCCAGAGAGGCATTTAAATGGTATTTACATAGAATTGTCAATCGGGATCCAATTTGTCACTAAACCTTCGCGATTTCCGAGCAAAAACTAATCACGATTATGTACACATTTGCTAACGTCACAACCTTAATAAAAATAGGGATCACAACCAATAAACCAATTGTAGCTGAATACATGTAGTAAATTATCCAACGTGGATATTAACTCCAACCTTTCTGTCTTGATACGTTCTCTCATTAATTATGTTAAGCTTATCCCGATAATATGAAATATAATAAACTCACATATATTATATGGGAGGTTGACAATTTATAATTCAGATCGCTAATAATAATCGTTTAACTTCACGGAGTGTTATCCGTGCAGTTATCTTATTCTGATCAGAACCTTTGCGGAGGAGACTTGCAATTGTATATCTGTTGTATAATGTTTAAGTGCTCTAAGTTAGTTAACAAGTAGCAAGTTAATATGGTTTAATGTATTATTTGCTTAGTTTTTAGGAACGAATACGTTTATTTCTCATAGATAGAAACCTCATCTGATTTAAGAATGAATCGGATCGATAAATTCGCGATCAGCTGCCGTTGTTCACTCTAGAAGTGGACGACTAGGTTGCTAAGGTACCAGAGATGCTGGTTATTGGACAATCCAAATTGAGACATTTAAAACAGTAGCAAGGGAAACGGGACTCAATATTAACAAAAAGCCACTAATGTTACATTTTCGTGGTTAAAAAGGGCTCGGTCATCGTTTACAAAATGGTTACCTTACTCGTCAATATAAATGTTTAAAATGTTACCTTACTCGTCAATATTGCCGCCATATTTTCAACGGTCAATGTTTTTAACGGGTATAATTTAACCGATATTAACGAGTAAGGTATGTTATGGCTATACGTGTTAAACTAAAACTGAAAGGTGACATCCAGAAATATTCTCATTTAAAGACCAAACTGAAGTCATAATCTATGAGATAATTTCAGCCTACGCCCCGAAAAGGATTATCAACATCCTATCGAAGGAATTTTGATGAATGATCGATGTTAGAAACAAGATTAAGAAAGATCTGAAAGCTTGTGGGACGAAACTGGAAATCGTAACATCCTGCCTCCTAATATCACCTCCCAAGCAACAGACAGAAAACGCTAGACAGACCCAGGTCCAAATCATCGATTAGGTAATCCCTAACGTGCCAACATAAATAAAAACCGAATAGTTTGAGACATTCTAGACGGATTACATAAACTCTGAATTTGCAAAAAATGCAATTTTGACGGAAGTTTGAACAGATCACGCTGGGAGACCACTATAGATGGTAACGTCATGGGTAAGAGACGGAAAGACACTGTGAGGTACACACTGTCTGAAATATAACGTGCAAAGTGGGGACATCTAATTTAGGTGAAACAATAAGCCCTGGGGGGGCCTGTCATACACTCACCAAACATCCTACACTGCGGCGTCAATGAGACGACTGGTATGCAATTAGTTTATCACGGGTCCAGTTTCACGGATAGCCCTATCAACAGACAATTACCAGCCAATTAACAGACAATTACCAGCCAATTTGCGAGGCCACCAAAACTAACGACAACAGGAAGGTGAATGGTTCTGCGCGGGAAAGGGTGTTGTTATCACAATATCAAATAGTGAAGCGACAAATTGGGGGCACAATATTTTGTATGTGCAGGCTGCAGGGCGGGGACGCTTCCATTGTAATGAGGTTAGCGACGGAAGATGATCAGTACCTAATGAGGTATCATGGATAATGACCTGACCCTCAGTGAGTTTGATTTTGTGAAATAAAGAATTTAAAGTGCATGCCAGAGCGTCGACATCAGAACAGATCACCTACACTAAGGTCTACTCATGAGCCCGGGGATAACCCGATAAATAAATCAGCAAATACAGGGTCTATAATAACTAACACCCGCAGGATAAAGCAGCCGGTAAATTGTTGGGGGTGTCCAGTTTCAAGAGGATCCAGAACTTAAA